TATTTAAAAAGTTGGTAAAAAGGGGTACGTGGCACAATCTTGGACATTGAATTTAGGTTTTTTTATTTAGTTTGTAAATTATAATTTTTTTGTTGTATTAATGGCAAATTATCTTTTGTTCGAAAGTATACACATACATATAGAAAGTTTATTGGTTTTTCCGCTATCATCCACGAATGTTATGTTTACGAGTGCTTATGGTTGGTAAAGTTTAGTAACAATCACAAAAATCTTTCTATAAAATCAGTCTAAATCAAAAATCATTTTGGAAGCGTTTGCGGTTGGTGACATTCGTGGATACTAAATAGCAAATCGTTTGGATGGATAATATTTAACAGTGACAAAGAAATCAATCTAGTATATATAGTTTACAATCTGTAATGTTATATTTGTGTATCCTCTCTTTTTTTCAAAAGGGGTATACGACAACAATAATAAATTAATGAATCAGAAAATGATGGATAGACATTTGTAATAATGTTTTGCAACTAAACTAATATGCTTCACTTTCATCTTGGCAACATTTTCAGCCATCTGGAACCAAGACTCCTTGCCTTCTTCCATAAACATTGTTCTCTCTTCAATTCCTTGAACTGGATTTACGTGAATTTTCAAAATCTGCGACGGTACGACTTGATAGTATAAAACTTCCGTTGTTTGGCGTGTACAAATGAGCATTTTGTGGTTTACACTAATCTTCTTTTCGATCATTTCGGATCCTGAAGAGTTTAGGGTCATGTTTGAGTTATTGTTGTCGTCTACTTGTTTCTCAAACGAGAAAAACTCATCGATCTCTATGTTGTTGATTGTATTGGTCTGAGATCTGCCTGTAATAATAACAAAAAAAACCCAATTATTTCCATTTTGATAAACTCAACATTCTACTATATGCTTTTAGTATACGTATCTTCAACTCTAAAATTATATTTTATATATCATACCCACCATAAAATTCTAGATCTTGATCGTTATCGTCGATACTTGGCAAAATCTCTTGTTCGTCTATAAAACTCTGTTAAAAAAATATACATTAAACAGAAGATTCATATTTGGAATTAGAGCATACTATAAAATAAAAGACTAAGACATGTTTATGATTATGATATATAATATTAGTTACCTGTTGTAAATTCTCGTTAGACATTCTCATCCATGTCGAATTTCCAGCATTGAGCAATTGTTCATCGAAATTTCCAACATGTGTCAAATGATCATCAACGTTGCTGTTATAAAACTGGTTGGAGTTACTTGCAGCAAAAGTAAAGTCTTCGAAACCGCATTGACCGCTGTTTTGATCCATTCTATTGGAGAGTTGGGCGGCTTGAACCGGGGAATTTTCCACTCGCAGTGGTGGCAATGACATTCGATGTTGAAACATCTCACATTCGGTCTATAAAAAGAAACATTTTAAGAAACGGTTGATTCAATATAAGATCTAGAACTGTATGGACTAATTAGTTACCTTTGATTGAGTGAGGTTTGGTCCATACGGAGATCCGTAATTTGAGAAACTCGCAGAGATGTCTTGTGACAAGTATTGCGACCAGTCATCATGATCACCGTTTGGGTTTGCGTTTCCAAATCGTGGTTGGGTATTATAATGTACAACTTGTTGTGTAGTTGAACTTATTTCGAGATCTGAACAAACGTCAAAACTCGAATTGCCACTTATATTCGAGCTCGTGTGAACATAAGGCTGATGTTGCTGTTGTTGTTGATGGTGATCCCTTGGCTTCGCTTCAATTATTATTTTCTTAAACACGCGACAAAGTGCATATGCGTCCTGAAAATAGAACAAAAATATTGTTTGCGAAGCAATTTTTTTTAATATTACTTCATATAATGTTTTAAAGAGTAGATGATTAATGGGTTTGGTCCGTTATTAGTAAACCTGCATGCCGAAAGCAGAAGGCTCGCATTCGGTTTCATCGAGACGATATTCATGCATGACCCAACCGGTTCTAATCCCATGTGGGGCACGTCCACGGTAGTAAACTAATGTTTTCTTGGTTCCTATGGCTCGATCTCTCCAACTCACCCGCCGGTCTTTGCCCGTAGCTTTCCAATAGCCGCCTTTTGTTGCCCGGTTCGTCCTTGAACCATTGGGGTACTTTCTGTCACGTGGACTGAAGAAGTACCATTCTTGGTCTTTGCTCGGAAGCAATGACTTCCCTGCCAATTTTTATGGTTGAGTTGGTTATTAACTTGTGATGAAAATAAGTATTATATGTTAGTAGTATTAGTATATACATACTATAGATTTGTCTAAGCCATTTGCAATTAAGTTTATTTTTATGATTAATAATTTGTTTTGTTCTAGCTACCTATAATAAGGCAAAAGATCTAGGACATGGTCAAGGTTAACGTATATTTTGGTTTACTTGTCCATGTAA